ATATATTAACTTAAAAAATGTTAATTTCAAATTTAATAAAACATTATTTAAACAAAAATTTTATGATTTTTTTACCGTCATAGTGTTCTGTAGAAAATTCTGTCACTTTTATTGGCGAGTTCCTACTTTCGGGCATTGAAGGGCTCTCGCAAGTCCTGGGATTATGATCCTCTTTAGAGGACTTACAATTTGTTTCAAGTGATCTAATGTTTTCTGATGGATGTTGCGTCCTTCTAATTCGTCGTGATCGATGATATGTATTTCCATTATTAGTGCTTAAATCATTTCTATTATCGTTTTCATCAAGTTCTGGACAGAGAGAAAGAAAAATGCACAAAAATATCCATGAGTTTTATTGAAAGAGAAAAAATCTGTAATCTCACCTTTATCGTGATTAATAATGGGTAATTCTGATAGCAAGTCGGCACAAATCTCATCCATATCATTGTTTTTATGCATCACAGTTGAGGAAGTTATATCAATAAAATATTGTTGAGTGTCGTTAAACTGATGAAAATATTTTAAAAATTCCATCAGAGATATCCTAGAAAGACAACAAATTTTTTTCATTACGATTAAATAATACATAAAAATTCCAAGTTTATGTACTTAATTTCGAACAATATGTAATAAGATACATGAATATATAATACATAATACCTATTTTGTCTAAGATCTTCTTGCCTTTGTAATATAATATCATTTTTTTTTGTTGATTTTGGAATGGACGCGTCGTACTTGAAGATTGTTTCTCGCGCGGCAAAAATCAGTTTGTTGAATAATAATCAACTTCTTCAAGTTACCTATAAAAAAATGTAATGTCTTTTAATGTTGTTTTTGAAAGCGTTAATTTTATTACTATAATTAATTCTGTAATTAAAGTATTCATCTATTATTTTATATCTGATGACTGTTAATGATCTAGTTTTTTTTACATAATAAATAATTATTATCCTACTAGATATAAAAAAGATAAAATAACATACCTATAAATATCCATATGTTTGTATGTCTGCCAAAATGTTTTAATGCTATGTTATGGAAGCTTTCCACTAGATTGTTGGTTCGCACAGGGCAGTTGTAAACCGAAACTTTTTCAGATATATTTAGCCATGTATTACGCATATACGACATAAATTGCAACACAGCAGGATAATCATCGCATATATTATCAGCAATACGTTGTAGTATTGTGAATGCTTCTTCAAATCTAACATGCGGTATTAATGGAATTGACATTGCCATTGATATTAAGGTTTTCGGAGCGTTAGTTAATCCTAGTTGTCGCCATTTGCGCAGTATTGACTAAAAATATTTTTATTTTATTATAAATTATTATATATAATATATAGAAAAAAAATAAAATTGCATTGATAATATACCTGATTAAAATGAAACCAACATCCATGTATCGCAGCCCCAGGGAAAAATTCGTGTAATATAGCTATTGCAGCTTTTTCGTAATTTACCATAATAAATTTTACATTGTTCTGTAGCATTGGAGCAAGCTTAATTATTTTTTCCCAAATTGCCCGATAAAGAACTTTAGTTTGTGATTCACACAAAACAAATACTGTTGCAATTCCCTGTAATATGTAAATAATGATATATAAATAATTGCAGATAAGATTCTTAAAAATGTATAAATTTTTTTATAAGTGTGATCTACGGTATTCATACAACGAATATGAATAGTATATAGCTGTACTATGTTCGGTTTCCGAGGAACAATCTGTAATTAAATAAATTGTTAAAGTGTTATTATAATGTAAAATTCACTTATTTATAAAAAGTAATATAATTACAGAAATTACCGAAAATGTTCCATCAACAAATAATTCTGCACTTTCATTTAGTCCATTGAGCAATTCATTGCTTGAAAATAAAAGTCCCATGCTACCATCTTCTGCGATTACATTTCCTTTATAAATATCTTTGCATGCGTCATACTTTTCAAGTTCCAAACTAAGAGATGCAAAAGAATTTGGTATGGGTGGCTTGTATTCAGATCGTTTTCTATTCAGAGTGCTTTTAATGGATGGATAACTTAAATACATTGCTGCTTCACAATCACTGAAATAAAAAATCAATATAAAAGGTTGCCTAATAACAAACAATTAAAAAAGCTGCGAAATGAAAGTGTTTTATTATTTATATTAACCTTTCACAAACATCATCAAATATTTTTTTTATAGGCTGTACACTTTCTTGGCAAAGACGGTACATTTCTCGCTTCAAATTTAATATACGTATCATCATGTCATTAGGTGGATGATCATGTAAAGAGCAAACAGTTACTTTGTCATTTTCGCTGACTGATACGAATCCTCGACAGCCAGTGTTACGACGAGTCGAACATCTATATACGTTTTGTAAACGTTTATCAATGTGATAAGTATAACCTGCATAGACGTAGACAGTACTATTTTTTGATTTGCCTTTAAATTCTTCCATATTTAAGGACTTGATAATATGCTAATCTAATAACTTGTGATTGACAAGGGCTTGCAAAAAGCAACAAATAAAGAACTCTCTGAAATAATAGAAAAAATGATACTAATGCCATTAACATAGAACGCAATGTACGCAATTTATTTTTATTAGCAATTAGTTGTAGAACGCAATTAACAAGATGTTTTCAAATTTTGTAAAATATTGTGAATACATTTTACTATTAATAATGCATTCAATTATCGAAAGTTAAAAAATTATGAACGACTCACCACTGACAAAAGGATTACGATTCTTACAATACTTGCAATTAGTCTTCTTATTCTTCGTTTTTTGGCCTGCACAAGCGGAATTAGGGCCGTTGCACATTCAAAAGTTTTAATCGTAAGGCCGTAACAAATCGACCAATCACAATCAAACATTCTAAAATGTAATAAGAATGTTTGAACTATGATTGGTTGATTTGCTTACGGCTTTATGGTTACGATAAAATATTTTCACGTGCAATGACTTTTAAGGGCATTCTACAATGGCAGTAACAAGGCTGTAGGAATAGGAGAGTATACTGTTTTTAGTGATGTAACGACCGAGAGTAACGAAATGGGCAATTCCCATTTGCTCTTAAAACCAACTCTTAAAATCTTACTCCTCACTCTGTACTGCCTACTGCCATTGTAGAATGCTCTTAAAAGTCATTGCACGTGAAAATATTTTATCGTAACCATAAAGCCGTAAGCAAATCAACCAATCATAGTTCAAACATTCTTATTACATTTTAGAATGTTTGATTGTGATTGGTCGATTTGTTACGGCCTTACGATTAAAACTTTTGAATGTGCAACGGCCCTAATTCCGCTTGTGCAGGCCAAAAAACGAAGAATAAGAAGACTAATTGCAAGTATTGTAAGAATCGTAATCCTTTTGTCAGTGGTGAGTCGTTCATAATTTTTTAACTTTCGATAATTGAATGCATTATTAATAGTAAAATGTATTCACAATATTTTACAAAATTTGAAAACATCTTGTTAATTGCGTTCTACAACTAATTGCTAATAAAAATAAATTGCGTACATTGCGGTCTATGTTAATGGCATTAGTATCATTTTTTCTATTATTTCAGAGAGTTCTTTATTTGTTGCTTTTTGCAAGCCCTTGTCAATCACAAGTTATTAGCATATTATCAAGTCCTTAAATATGGAAGAATTTAAAGGCAAATCAAAAAATAGTACTGTCTACGTCTATGCAGGTTATACTTATCACATTGATAAACGTTTACAAAACGTATATAGATGTTCGACTCGTCGTAACACTGGCTGTCGAGGATTCGTATCAGTCAGCGAAAATGACAAAGTAACTGTTTGCTCTTTACATGATCATCCACCTAATGACATGATGATACGTATATTAAATTTGAAGCGAGAAATGTACCGTCTTTGCCAAGAAAGTGTACAGCCTATAAAAAAAATATTTGATGATGTTTGTGAAAGGTTAATATAAATAATAAAACACTTTCATTTCGCAGCTTTTTTAATTGTTTGTTATTAGGCAACCTTTTATATTGATTTTTTATTTCAGTGATTGTGAAGCAGCAATGTATTTAAGTTATCCATCCATTAAAAGCACTCTGAATAGAAAACGATCTGAATACAAGCCACCCATACCAAATTCTTTTGCATCTCTTAGTTTGGAACTTGAAAAGTATGACGCATGCAAAGATATTTATAAAGGAAATGTAATCGCAGAAGATGGTAGCATGGGACTTTTATTTTCAAGCAATGAATTGCTCAATGGACTAAATGAAAGTGCAGAATTATTTGTTGATGGAACATTTTCGGTAATTTCTGTAATTATATTACTTTTTATAAATAAGTGAATTTTACATTATAATAACACTTTAACAATTTATTTAATTACAGATTGTTCCTCGGAAACCGAACATAGTACAGCTATATACTATTC